GGTAGCATCCGGGTATATCGCATTCCCTATGGAAATCGGAGCTGCAGGCGAAGGGGGCTTCATTTACCCTTACAGAAAAATATTACTTGGCTGCGTGTGGCTTGCAACGATTTTCGGTCATTGTGCATTTATACTCTGGCGACATCCTCTCTCTTCAACATGGCTTGGCTTGGATTATCTCGCTTCTTCTCGACAGCGCTCTGCGTCTCTTAACAAGTCCGTGATTCAGAACGGCCGACACTCGTTAGTGATATACTCCTATAGCTAAGCTATAGCACACATCACGTTTGGGGTACCTTGCTCTACAGAAATGAGACTCCTGAGTGCCGTGTCCCTGGCGCTTTGCGCCGGCCAGACGATCGCCCACGCCGATGTCCCCGTACCGAGGCTTGCTGGTGCCCGAAAATTCCTGAGGGAGTTTAAGGGTGAAAGAAGATGGGAGCATGACATTCGTTCAGCGCCAATTGATCAATCAATAGGGCCACAGAATGAATATAGAGTGAGGGAACGGAACGTCATTGAAGAAAGGCAGAATACGAATGGCAGATGCGGTGCTCGTTATGGCTCATGCGCAACGGGGTATTGTTGCTCATACGAAGGGTATGCGTTCCGTCAAATCAAGATAGTCTACCTACTGACCAAGCGTCAAGTTACTGTGGCAAGAGTGAAACTTACTGCCAGTCCCCGGACTGTCAAATCAGTTATGGCTCCGGCTGTGATGGAAATCAGAAACCTTCGGGTGTCGACACGTCGACTATCGCACGGCCTAAACTTGGAAGCGTCGCTTATGGAGGTGTTGGGATTTACGACTGCGTGAATGATGGAGATATTGCAGTCACATTTGATGACGGCCCATGGGATTATACCAATGACCTCCTAGACAAGCTTAAGGTATGTGAGAATCTACTCCTGTATTTCAGTATGGCGCTGACATCGCGATCTAGACATGGGGAGCGAAAGCCACCTTCTTCATAACCGGTAACAATCTAGGAAAGGGGATGATCAATAATGCCAGTACGCCCTGGCCTAATGTTATTCAGGTAATACTCTTATCTTTGGGGCTTTTACGAAGAAATACTCACAGAACGTTAGCGAATGGCCGCCGAGGGTCACCAGATCGCGAGCCACACGTGGTCTCATGAGAATTACAGCCAGTTAACTACTACACAATTCCAGAACCAGATTTATTGGAATGAGATTGCGTTCAACGATATTCTTGGATATTTCCCTACCTACATGCGGTATGAGCAGTGATGCTTCCGCTCCTAGATTGTCGTATGCTGATGTTCAGGTAGACCGCCTTACTCGATCTGCCCGACGAAAACTTGCGGAGCTCAGTTGGCCCAGCTCGGCTATCATGTGGTATACTTCGATCTAGACACTGAGGGTTACCTTAACGATGATGCAACCGATATTCAGAATAGCAAGGACATCTGGGACGATACTGTCCCCGGAACCAACCCATGCCGGAACAGTTTTCTGCAAATCGAGCACGACATTCATTATCAAACAGTCTATAACCTCACAGATTATGTTTTCGACTCCTTATTCAAGAGCGGATATAGATCCGTCACCGTAGGCCAGTGCCTAGGCGACCCTCCGGCGAACTGGTACCGAGCTGGTAGCAAGGCAGTGCCCAGCTATACGTTTACTACCCGTGCCCCGACGGGCACATGGTCTTGTTTGGCGCCGACGTCCACCGGCCCCGCGGGACCCGGCAGCACAACCTCAGTTAGTACTGACGGCTCCTGTGGTTCCGGTGTGACTTGCCAGGGGTCGACATACGGCAGCTGTAAGTCCTTGTGAAATCCCAGTTTGATACCCAGCTAAATAGAATATCCAGGCTGTTCTGTCAACGGTTACTGTGGCTCCTCGATCGACTACTGCGGTGCAGGCTGCAACCCCCAGTTCGGTAACTGCACTATCGGCGACAGCCCCCTGCCAGGGTCAGTATAAGAATATTGGGGTTCATAGGACGGAACTTGGAGGATATAGATCTTGGTTACGGGAGAATGTTGAACCGGGTGTCTCAACGGACGAGAACTAACTCGTATTGTGAATAGCGATGATCCACTTCTACCCTCAGTCGACGGCACCTGTGGGAACGGATATACATGTGATGGCTCTACATTTGGGACCTGTTGCTCTCAGTAAGTCTTTACCTTGTCAACGTGTCTCAGTGACACGTCGCCTTGTTTCTCGGGGGTGTCTTCTCGATTTGAAGCACCCCCTTCCCCATCCACCATCATCAATGAGTTGAAAGATGCTTTAGAGGTTTCCTTATGTCTCAGTTGCTTTACAGCACTGCATGTGTAGCCTACCACGCTCTTTTACTCTTTGTAATTAGGCTATAGCCTTGATGATATGCTCAGCTGTTTAGCTAAGCATATCTCTCTAGTAGACTTAGTTCTTCACCCCAAAATGAAACTACTAGTCTACTAGCATCTTCTTCTTTGGCGGATAGGCCAAGTTGTAGAGGATATACTGACCTTACCACCCCTTTACAGGTTCGGCTATTGTGGAAGCACCGACGACTATTGCTCGAATTGCATGCCAGCATACGGTAGCGGGTGCAAGGTATGATTTCTTTCGCATGTCCAGTACCTCGGATGCCTCACTCAGACAGTTTCAATCCCACCCAGCAACCCCTCTTCCACCAATAGAATGAGGTGGGCGTAGTCTTGTGGCCGGACTGGATCTATCGATCTCATCATCATGACTTCGCGATGCTGATGGTAACTTAGGGATCTACCACAACTACAACCACAACCAGTACCACGACAACTCTCACTTCAACTTCTTCATCAACCTCTCGCAGCTCGTCGTCATCGACCACTCGCACGACCACCACGACCACCACGAGAACAACAACGACCCGCACGACTACAGCGAGCCCGACTTCAACGGCTAAACCAGTCTCGAAGGATGGGACGTGTGGACCAAAATACGGCTTTACATGCCTTGGCTCTTCGTTTGGCACGTGCTGCAACGGCTTAACCAACCGCTGTGGACTCTTGTGCTTGATCGGAAATTGTATACCAGAATATGGCACATGTCCTCTCGGATAGCGTACAAGTGCGTTTTGTTACTGTCTTGGAAAGATGAAAAGGGGGAAAGGGGGGACGATAGCGCTTGGGCCATGGGTTGTGGCATTAATCTCCATAATATTGTACGATTTTCAAACTCGCTCAGGTCATGAAAAAAACCAAAAAGTTGATTTGCTTTTCCGGGCGTCGATTCGCTCAATTGAGAAGGTGACTCCATGTCTGCAGTCTTACGGGCGGAGGCACAGGTAGATATGCAACTCTCCAGGAGCACAAAAGTCCAGAACCCGAAAACAGAGGTTATGAGGCGCATTCGACAACTGCCAAGCCAAGACGACTACCGAGATGACCCACGAGACCCGGACACAATCGTCTAAAATGTCGTGATTCTTTCCGTAAGCGGTAAGCAGCTTGGCTTGTCTGTGATATTATAGGCTTGCTCAAGAGGTGTCAACAGCAGAGATGAGAGACACGCCGATGCAGTGCAATGATAAGCATTTGTTTGAGATACCTACCGTATACCTCTCTTTATCCAGGTATTGGTGCTCATTGGTGTACAAGTAAGAAATATGCGTGGAGAGCCATACCGATAGACCGGACGGCCCCGGGACTCTGAATCAGCGGGATCATCAGCGGGATTGAGATGGCCTCCGCACGTTGACAAGCGCTTTGTACCCAAGTTTGTACTAAGTAGTGCGGTAGGCAGGTACAAAGTGTAAGTCTGTAGAAGTAGAAACATCGAACGCCACTGTCAAAAAGGAGAGAAACGAGAACGAAGACGAGCAGATACGGGAATTCGATGTATCATGTTCCCCAAAGGGTTTTAATAACAGAAATATGCAGACCAGCCGACGCCGACCAATGAGCATCTTCAAGTTTAAACAAGCATGTTACGTACGGGGAGGGGAAAGCTGGAGAAACATAAGAGCAAAGGATGGAAAAGGAGGCTTCTGCATATGTTCGCATCAACAAGGGCCATCAAGGTGCTGAGGCCAGAGACATTGGCGGGGTCAAATGGCCGTAGCATGTCAGGTAGCGCTGGGAGGCGGCGTCTTCCGGGGCAAGCTCCTAAAAGCCACTGCGGAGAAAGCAAAGAACCGCTATTCCTTCAGGGCATCTTCCGGCAGCCCAGGAGCTCTCCGACAATGGCCCGACAAGCAAATTGCACGCTAGCCCCGGCTTGCAGATCGCTGTGCCGAACGCGGCCTGCCGGCCCAACCCGCTAAGGACCCCTATTCGCCGAGAACCCCTCCAAGACACAGCTTAGGCGGTACCTTAGCGTTTAGATGACCAGGGATCTCGAAGCTTTGTTCTTCCTGCCCTCTTCCATGTCCTTGCGGCTACGGCCAGCACGGCTTATTGGAGCCAGGGATTGGGGAGAGAAAGTGGTTCCTGACGTCGATTAGAATTTCCAGGTGATCCCATCTCGGGACAGACTGAGGCAATTAGCCATGTTAGGATGGTTCAACGAAATAGGTTTAGCGCATTTGCCGCTTTATCTCAGGCTGGGCTCAGCCAGCTATTAGTCGGGTGACTGCGAAACGGAACCTTTACGCTTAAAACGGTTCCAACTCTGAGAACAGCTCTAGCCCTTACAGCCTGTTTTAACCCTCTATAAGTTGGTCGAGTGATCTATCGTGAAGCCCAATCTAACTAACGTCTGACCGACTAATGCTAACAACCCGTTCATTTACGTCCCGCCCTATCGTTAACCGTCACCAGCGCGCGTTCTAGGCCGTAACAGCTTTACCTGACAGATTTGGCGCCGAGAGTGAGCAGTATATGAAGATGGTCAAGATCGAGCCCACTAACCTGGCAGGAAACATATAGGGGTATAATTAAGTTACTTACAACACTTAAACAGAGAGATAAATAGGTGATAGGTATAATAAATAGGTCATCGGTAAAAAGAAAGATTACAACCGCACTTAAATAGAACTCGAAAAAAAAAGTTCTTTCCAGAGCCGAGACTTGAACCCGGATCCCCTGGCCCCCGAAGGGCATGGGGAATTACACTTCCTACCATGTGTCAACTAGGGATGCTACCATTACACCACTCTGGATTTTTTTTGTTGAAAGCTATTCAATTAGACAAACTTATAAAGTGCAAGCTAGGTAGGCAGCAGATAGCGGCACCCTGCTAAGTTCATTTGAATACTGGCCTGGGCGTGATGGGGCAGTTGTAGGAAAGTGCGGAAGAAGCGTGGGTGGAAAGAGTATTGTGGTAAGAGCGCTTGTAAGAGGGTTCAGCGGTAGCACTTCAAGTTGTGTGATGTGACAAACAAAAAAACAGAAGCCTGATGCAGTGATCATAACTGTATATTTCTAGGTAAATATTCTGCTTGAAGAAGGAAAGGAAGGAAAGACTAATCTACAGGCGCGCAAAGGCTTTTGTGGACAAAAGCAAATACCGTTTATTATAAAACGGGCCTTTGTATATATTACAAGATAGTCCGTTTTGGTGACTTCCTAGGAAGTCGCAATAAACGTAACCGTGGGTTATGCTCAGGCCAGGCTCAGGTTAAAAGCAGCATGGCTCAGGTTGCATCCTTATTCCGATTTGGGATAGTAAAACCTATCTTGGAGGTAAAACATTGTTTCTTAGTATAGTTGGATACCTAAGCAAGGAGCTACCTATTGCTATCTATCCATGTCTAATATAGTATAAAATGGTGACGCTGCCTCATTCTATATTCTGATTTCACTGACTACTTGCTCGTTTATAGGTGGTGGTTCAACCATTGATTGCCGTCTCCTTATTATTTTGCGTAAATAGATAGACAACATCGGATATCTACAGCTTCACGCCTCTTCTTTTTCTGTCTTCTGCCCAATTACACGCATTACACCGGCTTCGTGAACCATAAGATAGCGTCGGTTCCAGTCTCGTGGCACGTCACACCAGGTCAATTCCTTTGTACGCCTCATCCGTCACTACGTAACCGGCCCATCTGTTTCTCGGGAGTCGTGCCGTATAGGAGTCATTGGCCTATAAGAGCTCGTATTTCTCTCGTCAAGCTTGCGGAGGCGGTGCGGTGTTCCCCCCTTTCCCTTGGTCGTGGAAGTCCGTCCGCACAGCCCAGCGCAGTCACGCAACTCTGTTGCCTGTATCTCTAGACCTCCTCTCCTCGGCCGACCATGCCTGTTGTCAGTTCGGCGCGATACGGCAAGGACAATGTCCGCGTCTGTAAAGTCCAGCGGGACCCGGCCACGGGGACGCACAAGGTGACCGAGATGACCGTGTGCTGCCTGCTGGAGGGCAAGATCGAGGCCGCGTACACGAAGGCGGACAATGGCGTCGTGGTGGCCACGGATTCCATGAAGAACACCATCTATATCAAGGCCAAGGAGCACCCCGTAGACCCTCCCGAGCTGTTCGCCGGGATCCTCGGGCAGCACTTCCTGGACAGGTACGCGCACATCGACGTGGCCAACGTCAACATCGCGGTGAAGCGGTGGACGCGGATGGTCGTGGACGGCAAGCCGCACCCGCACAGCTTCTACCGGGACGGCGACGAGACGCGCAACGTCGAGGTGCGGGTGTCCCGCGCCAACGGCATCGAGGTCCGCAGCGCCATCGCCGGCCTCCTCGTGCTGAAGAGCACGGGCTCGCAGTTCCACGGCTTCGTGCGTGATGAGTTCACCACGCTGCCCGAGACCTGGGACCGCATCCTGTCGACCGAGATCGACGCCTCCTGGAAGTGGAAGACTATCCCCTCGCTGCAGGCGCTGCGCGACAACGTCGCCATCTTTGATAAGGCCTTTGACGACGCCCGCGCCATTACCATGAAGACCTTCGCCGAGGAAGACAGCCCCTCGGTCCAGCACACCATGTATAAAATGTGCGAAGCGATCCTCGCAGCTGCGCCCGAAGTCGCCTCTGTGACGTATTCGCTACCTAACAAGCACTATTTTGAGATCGGTGAGTTCTCCCTCCAGTTTCCCCAGTACTACATAAATGAGATCATTGTGCTAATTTTTAAAAGATCTCTCGTGGCACAAGGGCCTCAAGAACACAGGCAAAGACGCCGAGGTGTACGCTCCTCAAACCAACCCCAACGGTCTGATCAAGTGCGAAGTGTCTCGGTCTTAAGCCCTTTTCTTACCACTTATCTAAACTAAAGCTGCCGTCTCACCACGGCGTGTAGTGTAATCATGACTAAACGGCGCATATGTGGTGGCTTTCGTCTTTTGAACCTTACGCTTCATGAACTTCTGCCTTAATGTTTGGCTTTGCATTCACCTGGGTAATGATTGCTTATTTGGGGGTTATCTGACTATGAGTGGCATTGGGACGGATTGTGATGCCATTAGCATCGCCTCTATTAGAATCTACTCAATTCATGAATTCTGATAATTCATCATCAAGCTTCCCCTGATTTTGTAGCTCGTAGACTTTTCCTTTTGAATTCGCTTGAGTTGCTTGGGGCTTCCTTCATCTGCTAGTCCCCTTCTATGTAGGATTGTCGTAACTGGTGTGTCATGAGTAGTTCTATTATAACCGTACACATTGTGGTACAAAATAGGTGTGTTTATATACAGGGCAGACTGCCTGAATCGTAGGCATGGCCCAGTCCAGAGGCCAGTTCAGCCCTCTTTGCTATAAGGTCTCTGCCCTCTTCTTGGCTCAGCGTTCCCTTAGCCACTACTATAACCGCTGGCTATCAGCCGCTCTAATGGCCTTCACAGCCTCGCTCCAACCTTCATGCCCGACCTGGACGCCACCAAACCGCAACAAATTCTGCTTATAAGGGTGAGCGTCACCCTCGAAGGCCTTGAGGCGCGCGAGGCGCTTATCACGGAGTCGGTTCTTGGGGAGCATGCCCGATACGGCCTTGCGCAGGACTTCGGCGCCGCCGTGCTTGGCCATGAGCACGTCCATAGTTACGGAGCGCAGAGAGCCCGGCCGCGTGTTGTGCCTGTAGTACGTCTTCTGCCACTTCTTGCGCCCCGTAACGTGCAGCGCGGCGCAGTTCGTCACCACAACGTAGTCTCCACAGTCCGTCGACGGGTCCCAGATCGGCTTGTGCTTGCCCATTAGGATCGTGGCGATCCGCGAGGCGAGGCGGCCTAGCGAGGGCGGTGTTACGTTCGGTTGTGTTGATAGAGTCGGGTGTGGTGCTGAAGCGGAGATTTGGTGCCATGCTCGCGAGTAGGCTAGCTTCGTCTGTATACGAGAAACTTGTGTGAATATTATTGTTGAGAGTTCACATATATGCAATCGGCATATCGAAGACGGATTCGGGAGAGTGAGTACCAAGGGTTAGATTGGATGCCACTTACCAGCCCTATGGTTTGTGACATGGTTGTGGCTCTCGAGGGAGAAGCTCCCTCCTTGATCTATCAATCAACCACTGCAGATGTGTGGAGAGCAGGACGTTCGGGCGTCAAGGTTTAATTGAGTTAATGGGAATATGGCAAGTGTTCCACTATCTCGTCGTCGCGATCTAATCTTCTGGCGGTTTGAACGCCAAGAAGCGGCTGGCATATCAGAATTGAGTCTCGAAATCACGTGTGGACTCTTATCGATAACCAATTGATCCCTTTAAGTACCTAAACCCACCATTGAGTTGTACTGCGCTACCTTAAAATATGTCTACAGTAGGTAGGACATTAGGCCTACCGGGAGCTTGGTCACTCCTCAAGTTGCTACCAAATTCGACGGACCCATCGGCGTCTGGCAACTCGATTTCAAAGCAACGTCGCACATCCAATAGCAAGGTGAGTGGATAACTATCGTGTAAGTGACTCTTTCGCCCGCCTCGAAAATTGTGACTATCCTGTTTCGAGACATATCATGTTCCAAAGTATACCTCGTACATATTTGCGATTCTTTGCTACAACGACCACCTGTATCACCGTCGGCTTCGTGTCAGTTCGATATTTTCCATCTTTGCATCGTGATAGACAACAGAACATACAGCATCAACACAACCAAACAAACAGCCTCGCTGCCACTCCCCGCCCCGCCAACGCCATGACGCAGAACAAAGTCAAAACTCCGTTCGAGGTTCGTTGGCCACTTTGGATTGGTGTGCTCTATGATCGGTTTCCTCGATCCGAGAAAGAGCTAGGCCTAGGCTATCCCAAACAGTAGAAGCGAGGCTAATGAAACACACAAACATCAAAATGTATAGACCTTATTCGCGGTGCACATGACCTGCGACTCTTGTGTCAAGTCGGTTTCAGACGCCCTATACAACCTGGATGGGATCACTAGTGTCGATGTCAATCTCAAGGACCAACTAGTCGCGGTTAAAGGAACTGGTAAGGCGGAAATCGTCCGAGAGCTGGTAGTGATTTACTCGCTCCCGTTCGGCTCGTGACGGAGGAATGATATGCCTATGTTCCACGATTTTCTTTCGTTCTTCTTGTTTTCCCCAAAAGGATCACGTCGTCTGAAGAGGTGCATGTAGATCGTGGCTGACACCAGATCCTTCGTCCCAACAGCTGCGCCGTCTGCCATCGTCAGTGCCATTGAGGCAACGGGGCGAGACGCAATTTTACGAGGATCAGGAGCATCAAACAGTGAGTTGGGTTTACTATTTCCCTATGCGAATGAATTCATCCCACGTCAGCTTCTCACAGCAGTGGTGCATGACGTCGCCGTGCGGCATAGGCATCCTTCATGTCTGGTTTTACCATCCATCTTGATTTGGAGTTACTTCGCATATGATATTCGCTATGCGACTATATACGCTTTTGAAACAACAAGCGCGTTTAGTGTTTATGATTAGCCGACCGCTGACTAGAATCACTTCGGATCATGATCAACAGGTGCAGCTGTCTGTATCCTTGAGACATATCATCGAAACGAAAGAGGTGGTGACGCGCTGGTGCCTGCATCGGACCCCGAAGCCTCGACGGGAGACTCGGCAGTCCGTGATAGAGAAGTCAGGGGTCTGGCCCGCATGGTTCAAGTGTCCCCCACCACTACCTTGGTAGATTTAACGCTGCGCGGGGTGGCGCCTGGGAGATACAACGCCACCATACGTGAGTACGGCGACCTCAAATTCGGGGCAGCTTCTACAGGTCCCATATGGGTCGGCGGAGGTGGCACGAC